TTACTATTCAAAAAAAAATTGGTCTCGTCCACACTTCTGAAACTTTGATCACTTATTGCAAAATGCAAATCAGTGCAGTATTTTTGACAATTGTGCAAGTTGATAGACCACATGCTTAGAGAAAAATTGGTATGCACAACTATTTTGCTGGAAACAGTAATGGCACAGGTAGCGAAGGGTTGCCTTGGGGGGTTTTGTCACCACTGTTGTCGTTATAATTAAGGAACTACCACGTTTTCTGGACCATTGTGTACACAAAGTACAGGGTTATGCAGACGATAGACCAGTGGAGTATTCATCTTAAATTTACAAATACAGTCAGGAAATTTGAATTTAGAGATAGAGTATTGATTGCGAAAACAGAAAATGATATTGCAAACTGTTTCAATGAATATTTCATATCACTGTTTCAATGAATATTTCATATCACTGTTTCAATGAATATTTCATATCGAGTGTAGTATAATTGATACCTTAAATTATCATAAGGAATGGTCCGCCAATTATCTCCCAGAAATAAAAACTAACCTTGAAAACTTTAGTAAAATAAGTATAAAGCAACTTAAAAATATAATTGCTACCCTGGAAAATGAAGGTAATATACATGATGTTATGAATGGTCAAATAATAAAAAATACCATTGACACTTGTTGTTTTCACCTATTATATCTTATTAACGCATCCTTTTCAACAGGAATATTTCCAAATGAGCTGAAAACATCCTTTACAATACCAATTCCAAAAGTCAAAAATTCAAATGATGCAATGAATTTCAGACCAATAAACACGTTACTAGATGTTGAGAAAGTAATTGAAAGAGCAGCATATAACCAATTCATTGAACACATAAATATTAACAATATTTTCTTAGGGAACCAGTCAGGTTTTCGTAGTAAACATTCTTGTGAAACGGCCTTACAACTGACAATTACTAGTTGGAACCAATTGATGGATAAAGGAAAGTATATCGTGGCAGTGTTCATTGATTTGAAACGAGCATTTGAAACAATAGATAGAGGTATTCTAGTGCAGAAATTAAAAACATGGAATTAAATCAACTGCTTTGAAATGGTTGGAAAGCTACCTGAGTGATAGAAAACAGATTGTGAAAATAAATAACCATTTTACTACTACAAGGCAGATAAATATAGGTGTCCCACAAAGTAGTGTAGTATTTATACTATACATGAATGACATCATCAACTGCTATGTTAATTGTGAAATTATTAATCTTTATGCAGATGATTTGGTGATTGTGTGGAGACCTCTGTTCAAAAAATGAATGAAGAATCAATTAAACTTGAAAAATACTTGAAGGGAAATAAGTTGAAACTTAATGTACAATTTCTAAAAAACTCTTTCTTCTCAAGAATAGCTGCTCACATATCGTTGAAAGCAAGATTGACAGTTTTTAATAGTATCATTAAACCATATTTTGACTATTTTTCTACAATACTATTTCTATTAGACAATAACAGGAAAGCTTCTCTACAAAAACTTCAAAATCGTGGGATGAGATTAATCCTAAAATGTAATAGATATACTCCAATAACCCATATGTTAGAGACTTTACAGTGGCAATCAGTAACCANGTTCGGTCTTGTGACCTATTTTATTGATAATATATGTAAATGATATGTTGTATAATTTACACCCTTCCTCATGCATTATGTTTGCTGACAATGTAACACTATATGAATGAAGTATCCTATTTTATTCTATAATATCAGTTAAACAGAAAGCTGATGAATGGTTTGTAGCGAATAATTTCAAGCAGAATTCTAATAAAACACAAAGAATAATATTTTCGTGTAATCCTCTGAGTCAAACGGGTGGAAAAGCCCAGCTTCTATTGCTCACATTATTTCCTTCCCTGAAATGGCATTGTCACATCGACACACTGGCTTTTAAGCTTTATAACCAGTTATACCTATTAAGACAACTTTAAAAAGTAATAAGCTGTGTTGCTGTGAGAACGTCTATTAGTCACTATCTCATTTTCATATCTGTTATGGTATAAAGCTTTGGGGTAACTCCAGTCTATCTTCAAAAATTTTCAAGTGAAAAAAAAGCTATAGGGATAATTGCCAGTGTTGGTTTTCGTAACTCTTGCAGAAATTTGTTCAATGAATTGAAAGTCATGAAAATGTTTTCTGTATATATCTACCACTCTCTTTTACAAAGTCAGAAGAATATTACAAAATTTTAATCTCATTCTGAGTACCTAACATGACTAAAACACAACCTGGTTTAGGCTTTCTGGATCAGTTAGTAATTCCCTTGATTTGAACTTGTTCAATAAACTCCCAAATGAGGTAAAAATATGAGTCGTAAGAAATTTAAAAAAAATAATCAAATGGTTTTTCATTAATCTCTTTTTACACTCTTGACGAATATAAACTATGCCATCTGTATTGCTACAACAAAGAGTTTTTAGGTACATTTTCTTAACAGTTAATTTTAACACTTATTTTTATATGAATCAATTTTATGATAGTTTTATTATGCCTGTGTTATCAGCAATCCTCTAGCTGTGTATGTTCATGTATTGTGACTTGCTACCGATATTTTCAACATAACGTAGTTGAACAAAGTATCTATGTATGTAACTATATCGAATTTTTACTATAATTTCTGTTTGTTTCCTATTGTATCATAATTGTAATTATCTATTGAACATTGTGAATTTTTATTTCTGATTGAAAATTTTTCATTCAAGGTACCCAAAATTTTCGATGCAGTGTTTGAATGTACACTAGAAATGATCAACAAAGACTTCGAAGAATATCCTGAACACAGAACAAATTTCTTCCTGCTTCTCCAGGCTGTTAACAATCACTGTTTTGTGGCATTTCTAAATATCCCGCCTACACAATTCAAGTTGGTTCTCGACAGTATAATATGGGCATTTAAACATACAATGAGAAACGTAGCTGACACAGGTTTGCAAATCTTGCTGAAACTTTTGCAGAATGTCGAACAACACGAAACTGCTGCTCCCAGCTTTTATCGAACCTATTTGACAGACATCCTTCAGCATGTATTTTCTGTGGTGACAGACACTTCACACACTTCAGGATTATCTATGCACGCATCAATATTGGCGTATATATTTTCGTTGGTCGAAGCAGGAAGAGTGAATTGTCAATTGGGTCCCACACCGGATAATGTACTGTACATACAAGAATTCACTGCAACTCTGCTGAAGTCTGCCTTCCCTCATTTGACTGACAACCAGATCAAAATCATGGTTCAAGGAATGTTCAATCTGGATCAAGATATTCCCGCTTTTAAGGAGCATTTACGAGACTTTTTGGTTCAAATAAGGGTGAGTGAAACTGATTGTCTGTTTTTTATATTTTTTATTACAACCTTTAAGGAACTTATACTATGGTCCTCACGGTGAACCCCCAATTTTTCATTTGACAAAATAGATCCACGATTGCTTTGGAGAAGTTCAGAATTCAAAAAAAATGCAATATTTTTGTAACATTATTTCTTTTGTTTGCCTGTTCATCAATCTGTCATGTCAAAATTGGTTTTCAGTTCAATTCAATTCAATTCATTTATTGGTTTTACAGATTACAGTAAAAGTAATATAAAACACGTCACAAATTACATATAGGTAGACATTTCACATTTGAAACTGACAATTTTAAAAATAGAGTAAGTAAATTAAAATATATTATTGAATGAAAGTACCCAATTAGCTGGAATAAAATTCTTCAATATTATAAAACATTTTCGACAACAGAAAAGTTTTGAGATGCTTTCTGAATTTGAAGTCAGTAGTTTCCTTTTTAATTGATTCCGGG